AAAAAGTAAATTTTGGTTAGTTTTTAGATTAATTTTTTTTTTTTTGTGTTATTGGTGCTAATTTTCAAAAAAAAAAATGGGAAACAAACAGTGACAACAACCCTCCGATGAATAACCAATTAATTTTTTTTTTTGGTTTTGGTTGCTTACGAATTACGATTAATAATGAAGTCTAGGACCGACAATTGTATAGTAAAATGCGGATGTAGAAGAAATAAATAAATTAATGAATGCGGTTTATATATGTGAGATGATGTGGGGTTTGTTAAACAATACGCATTTGTCGTAAAAAGTTGTGGCTGTGAGAGGCTCACGAATCTTTTTTTTTTGGTCTAAGAGGCTCACGAATCTTTTTTTTTTGGTCTAAGAGGCTCACGAATCTAAAGGCTAATAATGGTAATGGTAACTGAGTGCCTTTGATGCGAATTGACCAGTATTATTATTCTATTGCACATGTTAGTCAGATGGTACGTTCCTATCATTCAAATGTATAAACAATTTTTTTGTTGTAAACGACATAGTAACGATACAGGGAACGATGTATTTATGTACATAATTAAAGATATAAATTGCAAGATACAAGAAATACCAGCGTTGAGTATTTTCTTATATATATATAGTCGTGATCTAGATCTATCGTGAAATTTGTTTATATAAAGTTTTTATGGTGTCTTTAGACCCAAAAAAAAAACGTTTTTATGGTGAATAATTCTAAGCAAGTTATGCATTATATATAATAATAAGATTATTGCACTTAAAAAAAAAAAGAAGAATAACAAGATTATTAATGATAGTGTGTAGTCTAGTGGCTAATCATGGCTTCTCTCGAACCTCTTCCTCTCGGCTTGCTTGTGCAAATGGATCCAGAGCAGCTACAGGTATGCATCTATATTTATAACATTCAAAGCTATATAGGTTTCGATGGATCTCGTTATCTGTTTTTTTTTTATGCGATTCGATTTGGTTTCTGATTCGATTTTATGCGGCAATGGATAAAGGATTTTAGTTGCTTTTCTTCTGGAATCTGGGCTTTTCTTATTGTTCTTTACGAGAGATTTGAGTTGATTTGGTGATTTTTTTACAGATCGCACTTGACGACTTTCGCTCTGCAAAAGAGCTACAGAGGAAAAAGAATCTCTGTTGTCTGAAGCCGGCAAATACCCCTCCATTCTCAAAATCGTGGTCAGCCACGAACAAACACTTGGTGAGGAGATTGCCCTGAAAGCGGAAAGGGTTTTGGAATTGTGCATTGTCACGAATCAGAGGGTTCCACAAGAGAGTTAGTGATGAATCTGGTGAGATTAGTGATGGATTTGGTGCTCGTGTTCTTCTACGATGTGCTCAAGATTATCGTCCTGCTGCTGCTGTTGTTCCATCTGGATCAGGTGTTGAGCCTGCTCCACCGACGGTTGAAGAGGAAATTGCGGATTCTCTACGACTTTACCCGGCTGTAAAGTGCACTAAGGTCTGGACCAAGGAGCGGCATTTACAGTTGCTTGCTGCGAGGTTCTCTTTGCAACCCGATAAACGCAGCCCAAAGAATATCCACGAAGAGTTAATGAAATTGAGCTCTCCTCCGAATGTTTCTCGTAAGCAAGTAACGGATCGTATGAGAGACGTGAAGAAATACGAGAAACTTGCAAGAGCCAAGGAAGCCATTGTTAAATTTGTATTTGTTGTATTTGAGGAAGGTTGGCGCATCGGTGATTCGGTTTCTCTACATCGTGTTATGTTTTGGCTTGATCTGACTTGCGTTGTGGTGAGACTTTGGGTTTTTCGCCTTCCTCTTCAGTCGATCGTTTCGTTCGGCTAACTGATCGATCAGCTTCACACTAATTTGAGTTGAGGAATCACCATCAAAAAACACATCACATAATTGTATATCTTCGAAATTTAACGCAAGTCACAATGCAACGAAGCAGCAAATATTTCTCAACAAAGCTTCCTCACGTCGACGGTTTCAACAAGATTACAAATTATACTATTTTCTATCTGGCTAAAGTAGTTAAGATCTTCAAATCAACGAAACCAAGATGGAGAAAATATTTTCTCCTAACAACAATCTAAGACAAAAATATATTCACATCTACTGGAGAAAATATATATATGGAGATCT